CGAGGCGGCCGCGCGTATTGGCTGACCCGGGTTTGCGAAGACCTGCGCTGCATTTTTTTTTTCCTGCATTGCAGTTTTTGATTTCCTGCTGACCCGGGTCTGGATTGACCCGGGTCAGAAGATCCCCGAAAGCTGGCCGCTGCGGGGTCTTTCTGGTTTTCAGTCGGGCCTGTCCCTCTACAGGGGAAATGTTCAAACATAGCACAAACAAATAATTAGTATGGGGACTATTTTTTAAAGTGCTCTTGAACACTTGAACATGTTTTGACTCATTTTTATTTTTCGTCCAGAATCCCCTTTAGGGGGACAGGCCCAACCTAATCCTGGTTTGGCCCAGCGCGTGTCCTTGCAACCCTCAAGGGGTGTGCGATTCGTCCGCCCGCGTATGTCGGCGGGCTCTTCTCCGGGACTTCCTCGGAGGCCAGTCGCGCGGAAACGGTTGAGCACCACATGCAGGCAGGTGCAGCCAGCAGACTTTGAAGCTCACGTTCAGGGTCCGCGCGAGCGTCATGGTCTCCGCTCCCGTGCCCAGGCCTTGAGTGGTCTGCATTGTGCGGTCCCTTCTCGCCTCCTTCTCCTTTCGCCCTTCACACATTGTCGTGGAAGTCCGAGGGGCACGCGTGAGACTGACGGTCCTAGACATCGCCCCATTGATTGGTCTTCGGTCTGCCACCATACTAGCGGATCACGTTCACGGAGCCTAGCCTGGCATGGAGTTTCTCGTGGGGGGTTCGCTAGAGAGTTGGCCCGGGCATCTTAGAGACGCACGTTCTTGCTCTACAGCGAGAGACAAAAATACGTATCCTTGATTGCAGGTTGCACCTCACCCGTGGGGGCGCGAATCTACCAAGGTAGCCGCGAATCACGCGTAGTGGTCTCTGCGCGAGAGGTGTCCCTCCCCACGAGGGGCCGCGCAAGGGCCCGAGAATGCGGTTCGCGCAGCGCGAAGCACGGGTTCAGACGACTTCGACCTTTTGAGAGGGGGTATGTAGAGGAGAGGTTATTCGTCCACGCTGGGGAAGCTGGGGCTGTTTCGCAAAAGCGTGCCCACTGAACCATGGGGAAGGCGGTGATGGGAGAGGGAGGGTACGTGGAGGAGCAGGTTGGCCAGCACGACGATGACGACGACCGACGACGATCGACCACGCCGACCGACGTCGTCTTCCGCCTTTGGGATGGCCTGTGGAGGCCCCAGGAGGCCTCCACAGGTTTGCAGGGAGGCCACCTGGAGGGCCTCCCCCGCCAGAGGCCGCGCCAGCCCCCGGATCTGCGATCTTTACACCTCGCCTGCAAAAAGAAGAACTATCCTCAAGTCGGGCGTGTCCCTTCACAGGAGGAGTATTCAAGAATAGCTAAATGATACTGGAGAAAAACCCCAATCAGGACTATAGGGCTAGGGGACTATAGGGCTATAGGGCTAACGAGCTATAGGGCTATAGAGCTATAAGGCTATAGAGTTGTAGGGCTATTGGGCTATAGGGCTATAGGGCACTCCCGGGCACGCCCGGGCACCCTGACGCATGGGCACCCGGGCACACCCGGGCACCCGGGCGTGCGGCGAAAATCGGCGGCAAACCTAACCTAACCATGTGAATCCGCTAGGACCCCTACGGAGTCGAGCTCTGACACTGGGGAAGAATAGTCTGGGTACGATCTTTCGACTGTTCCTGACCATGTGGGAATCTTTGTTTGCTATTCTTATTTGTCGTCCAAAATCCGCCTGTAGAGGGACGTGCCCGACCCCAAACTATCGCCGACCTCGATCCTGCGGCAGCGGCGACGACCGGAGGCCCGCGATCTTGCGGCCGGCGGCCCCGCTCTTCCGCCCCGGGGCCCCTGATTGGCGGCGCCCGCGGAGAGGTGGCGCGAGGGCTGCGGGCGTCTGTGGAGGCGGTGGGGCGTCGAAGAAGGCCGGGGTTAAGTCGGGCATGTCCCTCTACAGGAGGAATATTCAGAAATAGTCAGAACATATCGGCGACAACAGTCGGTGCGGTTACGCCAGGGTGCGGTTTGCGAATTGCTTTGTGGCGGCCTTTCCGGAGCCTTTGTGAGAGACAATGTCACAATTGTCGTCGTTTCGAGCGACACTGTCATCCTCGATGTGTGCTCCACTGTACTAGAAGGAGCGACAGTGTCATGTCATTCGGTCGCATTGAGTGACAGTGTCATCCATTTCCCGGAGGCGGGAGGGGCAGATATGACGGAAGGCAAACCGCACCCTTCGCAAACCGCACCCATTGTAGTCGCCGAACATAGTCTGAGGACGATTCTTTCACTATTCTTGAACATGTGTCATGCGTTTTCGGATTATTTGTGCCTGGAAGGGCGTGGGCCCAGGGTTCTCTTTTAGTCTTGTTTCCCCCTTGCGCCATGCTTGAAGGAGGATGGCGGATTACCATTCGATTGAAAAATTTGTAAAGTTCAATTCTGCGTGGGAAACATGCGTTTCGCGCGTGCCCGCTCGAGGAGAGTGCGCACCCCCCCCAATCTCGGATCCTCGCTAGATAAGGAGGCTCAGGAGGCTCGCTCCAGGATGCCCAGGAGGGTCGCTCCAGGATGCCCCGGAGGCTCTGGCAGCGCAAACACAGCGTAATTTACGAGGGATCGCGACTTCGGAAGCGCGGACGCCGCCTAATCTACGAGGGAGGGCTCGGGGCCTTGGCAGCGCGGATCCAATGTAATTTACTAGGGATCGTGGCCCTGGGAGTGCGGGAGCTGCGTAATGTACGAGGGGGTGCGGCTTTGGGGGCGCAGATCCAGGATAATTCATGAGGGATCGCGGCGGGGAGCGCAGACCTTGGGAGCGCGGGCGCCGCGTAATTTATGAGGGCTCGTGGCCCTGGGATCGCGGCCGCCATGTAGTTCACGAGGGATCGTGGCCCTGGGAGGGCGGATGCCGTATGACTTACACAAGGTCGCGGCCTTGGGAGCGCGACGCCGCGTCATTTGCCAGGGGTCGCTGCCTTGGGAGAGCGGGCGCCGTTTGATTTCCTGTGGATCGCGGCCCTGGAAGCGCGGGCGCCAAGTCATTCACAAGGGATCGTGGCCACGTCCCTCGGTGGGCCAACCCCTCGGCGCCAAGCTCTGAGAGGGGGGTCTGGATGCGCTTCTCCCTCCCCCCCCTCCTTTTTTTTGTTTCTGGATACGCTTCTCCCTGCTCCCCCCCGTGGCGCCGCCGAGGGGGGTAGCATGGGCACGCCGGCCTGTGGGCCAACCCCTCGGCGCGCGGCGCGAGCCGCGTGGCGCCAGCCGCGAGCAGCCGCGAGCCGCGTGGCGCGAGCCGCGAGCCCACCGAGGGGGGTGACATGGCCACATCGCCCTGTGGGCCAACCCCTCGACGCCAAGCTCTGAAGGGGGGGCTTCTGGATCCGGTGATTTCTCCTCCCCCTCCTCCTCTTCCTTCTCTTCCTCTTCTCCCCCAGGGTATCCCTTCACCTCTGTCTTCCTTGACGGCCGTGCCCTCCAGAGCTTCTGCGATCGAGCTCCCAGCGTAGATTGTGAAGCGCGTGTCCTTCAAAGCTGTGTGAAGCGCGGCACCAAGGCCGCTCCTGGTGGTGAAGCCGCCCAGGGGGAGCTCGCGGCGGCCCTCAGCGTCCTCCTGGCAGGTCCCCCTGTCAACAAGGTCTGGGGCAGCTACTATGTGCTCGGGCCGCTCGAGCTTACGATCCAGATCAGGTCGGTCAGGATTCGGATGCAAAGGAAGACCCGATCTACAACGCCATCGAGCACAAGCGCTTCACGGCACATCGCAATTCAGAACGGCGCAGCACAGCGCAGCCCTCGGCACGGTATATCAAGATCGATGCACTCAGCATTGCATTTGCCCGTCGCCCAATCAGGTGTCTTCGAGACGTCGCCATGCCTTGAAATTTTATATTCTTTTCTGGGTTCGTGGGTCGATCATTTTTTTCGTCCACGATCCCTTTGTAGGGGGACAGGCCCGACCTAAGGCAAGGGGCATATTCTTAGCAGCCTGCCCGTGTTCCCAAGGAGCCTTCTTAGAAGCCCCTAGAGTTTTCTACCGAAGGCCCCTGCCTTCTAAGTCCACAGCGCCCCTTTCCCTCTTGGAAGGCCGCCCCCTTCGCGCCACCCCCTTTCACGGGCAGTGGCTTAGGGGGGACGGGCTCAGAGGGGAATGCGTCGACCCCCCATCGCCCACTCATCGGCGATAGGTGCCCAATGGCCCCCAGATACCCGCGTCCGTGCGGATTCGCTACCGGGGGCCCATCGCCGATCTATCGGCGATGTGCCGCCGATTCCAGGTCCATGGCCCCCCCCCTCCCTTGAGCTGGTCCCCCCTTATCGTTGCGCCTCACCCTTGTGTCGGCGTCACCCCAGCATACTAATACTATGAGACTATGTGTGCGTCTCCCCCCCGGGGGCGACGCGCGCACCGAGAAATCTTATAGCATATGCGTTGCGGCGGGCGCTTTCTGGCCACACCGCTGGGGAAAGGACATACTGCAAGATGGGTATATTGTATGTTCGGGTCGGACGCGCGCCTCCCAGGAGGACATATAGTACTAGTATGTCAGGGCTGGACCTAAACGCTGCTTTGCTGGGCTTCGGCTGTGCTTGTTTTTCGTTCTGGCGGGGATGTGCAGGAAAACCGGTAGAGCAAAACGAACAACGAAACGAACACAACACGAAAAGCAAAGTTTGGGTCCAGCCTTGTAGTATGTCCTTCTGCCTCCCACTTTTGGCGCCGCCAGCTTTAAGTCGGGCCTGTCCCCCTACATGGGGATTTTCGACGAAAATTGTTTAAACAATACTACAAAAATAATCCAAACATGCCCCCAACATAGTCTGGGGACCATTTTTTGAATATTTTTTAACCTTGTTGGTGCATTTCGGGGGTGTGTATGATTTTTCGCCGAAAATCACCCTGTAGGGGGACAGGCCCGACATAACGCCAGCTCGATGTCCCGATCCTCGATCCGGTGGCGACGGCGGCGGACGGCGGCGAGGCGGCGGCCCACGGCGCCCGCCCGGGCGGCCAGGCGAGGCCCCGTCCCGTGCCGCTGCGCAGGAGGCCGCCTGCGCCCGATCGCGGCCCGCCGTCGTCGCCTCCGCCGCCATGTCGTCGTGGTCGACGATGGGGTGGTGGTGGTGGCGGTGGTGCTGGTGCTGGTGCTGGTGCTGGTGGAGGTGGTGCTGGTGCTGGTGCTGGTGCTGGTGCTGGTGCTGGTGCTGCTGGTGCTGCTGGTGCTGGTGCTGGTGCTGGTGCTGGTGCTGGTGCTGGTGCTGGTGCTGGTGCTGGTGGTGTGCTGGTGCTGGTGCTGGTGCTGGTGGTGGCTGGTGGTGGGTGGTGGTGGTGGCGGTGGTGGCAGTGGTGGCGGTGTTGGCGGTGGTGCTGGTGCTGGTGCTGGTGGTGATGATGGTGGTGGAGGAGGTGGTGGTGGCGGTGGTGGTGGTGGTGGTGGCGGTGGCGTTGGCAGTGGCGGTGGTGGCGGTGGTGGCGGTGGAGGTGGCGGTGGTGACGGTGGTGGTGGTGGAGGTGGCGGTGGTGGTGGTTGAGGAGGCGGAGGATCAGAGGATCAGAGGATCAGAGGAGGAGAAGACACCGAAACCGCTGCTCGTCCTGGAGGACCTTCGTCGCCACAGCTGCGTTCTCGTCGGATTTGTTGTTTAGAATGCACCCCAGGAGAGGTCCAGGGAGTCGCGGTATCAGTACCGTTGTCCCCCCAGAGGAGGAGGAGTAGGAGGAGGAGGAGGAGGAGAAGGAGGAGGGGGGGAGGGGGAAGAGGAGGAGGAGGAGGAGCAGGAGCAGGACGACGAGCAGGAGGAGGAGGAGGAGCAGGAAAAGGGCAGGAGGAGCAGGAGAGTCTCTGACGCACGGGCTCATTCCGACGGCCGGTTGGCTGAAGAAATGATGATGATGTTGATATTGATGTTGATGTTGTTCTTGATGATGATGACGAAGATGATGATGGTGATGGTGCTGATTATGTTGTTGTTGATGATGTTGATGATGCTGATGATGATGGGATTGGTGGTGGTGGTTGGTGGTGGTTGTGATGATGATGATGATGATGATGTTGATGATATTGTTGATGATGATGATGATGATTGTGGTGGTGGTGATAGTGTGATCATGCTAATGGTGATGATGATAATTGGGGTGGTGGTGGTCATGGTGATGAGGATGAGGATGAGGATGATAATGGTGATGATTATGGTTATGATGATTACGATGGTGATGAGGGGGAGGAGGAGGGTCATGCTGATGATGATGTTAATGCTCCTGGTGATGCTGCTGTCGATCATGATGATGATGATGATGGTGGTGGAGATGTTGATGCTGATCATGATGATGATGGTCATGCTGATAATGATGGTGCTGATGCTGATGCTGGCGATGATGGTGATGATGATAATTGGGGGTGATGGTCATGATGATGGTGATGATGCTGAGGATGATGATGGCGATGATTATGGTTATGATGATTGCGATTGTGATGAGGGGGTGGATGAGGATCATGTTGATGATGAGGATGATGATGCTGATGCTGATGGTGATGCTGATGTCGATCATGATGATGATGATGATGATGATGATGGTGATGATGATGATGGTGGTGATGCTGATGTCGATCATGATGCTGCTGGTGATGATGGTGATGGTGCTGATGCTGATGCTGATGCTGATGTTGCTGCTGCTAATGATGATGACGCCGATGATGATGATGATGATGATGATGGTGGTGGTGGTGATGATGCTGCTGATGATGCTGATGATGATGGTGGTGGTGGTTGTTGGTGGTGGTAATGATGGTGATGATGATGATGATGATGATGGTCGTGGTGGTGATGGGCATGATGGTGGTGATGATGATGGTGAGCATGATGGTTGTGATGATGATGGTGATGATGATGATGAGGATGATGGTGGTGATGATTACGGTTATGATGATTACGATGGTGATGAGGAGGAGGATCATGTTGATGATGATGCTAATGCTGCTGGTGATGTTGATGTCGATCATGATGCTGCTGATGATGATGATGATGATGGTGCTGATGCTGATGCTGATGTTGCTGCTGCTAATGATGATGACGACGATGATGATGGTGATGGTGTTGATGGTGATGCTGCTGCTGCTGATGCTGATGGTGGTGGTGGTTGGTGGTGGTAATGATGGTGATGATGATGATTATGATGATGATGATGATGGTGGTGGTGATGGGCATGATGATGGTGATGATGATGGTGATGATGATGGTTGTGGTGATGATGGTGATGATGATGGTGATGATGATGAGGATGATGGTGGTGACGATTATGGTTATGATGATTAAGATGGTGATGAGGAGGATGATCATGCTGGTGATGATGCTAATGCTGCTGGTGATGTTGATGCCGATCATAATGATGATGATGATGCTGCTGTCGATCATGATGATGCTGATGACGATGATGATGTTGTTGCTCATGCTGATGACGATGACGATGGTGATGCTGATGTCGAGCATGATGAGGATGGTGATGGAGATGGTGATGATGATGACGCTGCTGATGACGCTGATGATGATGATGGTGATGGTGATGATGATGATGATGATGATGATGATGCTGTTGGTGATGCTGATGTCGATCATGATGATGATGGTGATGTTGATGATGATGATGATGATGATGTTGATGATGATGCTGCTGACGACGATGATGATAATGACGATGATTATTCTTATTGTGGCGGTGGTGATGATGCTGACGTTGTCGCCGTCGCCGGAGGCGTCGCTTCGCTTGCACGGCTTGACACGGCCGACGGCGACGCGGCCGCGGCTCCACGGCGGCCGCTGTCCTGCCGCCGAGCTGCCCGGGCGACCCCCCGCGCCCGAGGGGGCCTCCGCAATTGCGACGAGAGCGCTCTCTCCTCGGTCTGAGCCACTGTGCCTGACATCGCTCGGACGTGTGCATTTTTTTCCTCGGCGAGAACCATCGAGGACCATCCTTGATCATTTGGCGAAAGAACCACGCACGAAGCCGAAAAAAGCACAGGGAATGGACGCCCGAGCGATGGCGAGTGTGGGTGGGTCGGTCTCCGTCGGCACCATGAGAGGGCGGCGCGCGACGGAAAGCCAGCCCCGCGGAGGGGGTCGAGGGCTCTCTAATGGGCGCACAGCGTCGGACGCAGTGCGGGTCGGGCAGCCTCCCGCGGACTGGAGACTGCGCCCTGCACGGAGGGGGCCTCCACCTGAGACGCCCCCACCCAGACTGCTGGGTGCCGCGGACAAGACTCCGATGAGCGCGCTCTCCTCGATCTCGGCCACCAGGGGTGAGCCAGGTCGTGCGACGAACAGAACTCATCTACCGATCCTGGCAAGGCTGAAGTCGGGCCTGTTCCTCTGCAGGAAGAAGATTGAACAATTGTCAAACAATAGTCGGGGGATTTTTTTTGTATGTTTGAACATGTTTTGACAATTGTTTGACAATTTGTTTAGTATGTTTGAACATTGTTTGAATCTGTGTTCCCGGGAGAGGGCATCGGCCCAGGGTTCTCTTTTAGCGGTTTCCCCCCGGGACGCGACGGGAGGTGGACCGGCGGAATTGAGCTGCGAGCAATGACAAGGTAAAGTGTGAATCTGCAGTGAAACAAATGCTTCTTTCGCGTGCTCGCTCGAGGAAAGTCTGCCCCCGCTCTCGGATCCTCGATAAATAACGGGGTCTGCAGACACCCGTTTTCCCTTCTAAAAAAGGGTGCAGGGCATTTTTTCAGATTCCTTAACGAAAACCGAGATCTGGAGCCCCGACCAGGACACAAAAAATATGAACATGTTGATATTGTTGCGTGCTCGCTCGAGGATGGCGCGTCCTGCGCGCAGAAATTCTGGGCATGTCTCGAGCGTAACGCTCGTTTTGCAAAATTTGACGGGCCTGGGCGCTCAAGGATGCCCAGGAGATTAGCGCAAACCCAGCGTAATTTACTGGGGATCGCGGCTTTGGGAGCGCGGATGCCGTGTAACCGCGCATTCGGTGAATTTACAAGGGATCTTGGCCTTGGGAGCGCGGATGCCGCGTGATTCATTAGGGATCGTGGCCGTGGGAGTGCGGGGGCTGCGTAATTCTTACGTGCCCAGACCACCCAGGGGTATATCTAACATGCTTGTCCCGAGCCAGGACCACGTGTTTTAACGTGTCCAGGCCACCAAGGGGTGTATCTAACATGGTTGCTCAGAGCTGGTCCCACGTGTGTTTACGTGTCCAGGCCACCCAGTGGGGCATCTTACATGAATGTTCTGAATTGGAACGGCGTGTTTTTACGTGTCCTGGCCGCCCAGAGTGGTATCTAACATGATTGACGTGCGCAGGCCACCCAGGGGTATATCTAATACAGTGTCCCGAGCAAGGGTCAAGTGGTTTAACGTGTCCAAGCCAGGCAGGGTTGTATCTAACATGGTTGCCCAGAGTTGGTCCCATGTGTGTTTACGTGTCCAGGCCACCCAGGGGGGATACCTAACATGATTGTCCTGAATTGGAACGGCGTGTTTTTTACGTGTCCAGGCCGCCCAGGGTGGTATCTAACATAATTGTCCCGAGTTGGCACCACGTGTTTAACGTGTGCAGGCCACCAAGGGGGATAGCTAACATGGTTGTCCCGAGCAGGGATCACGTGTTTTAACGTGTCCAGGGCACCCAGGGGTGTATCTGACATGTTTTTATTTGGCCCGGCCACCCACGGGGGTATCTAACATTGGTGTCCCAAAGTTGCACCACGTGTTTTGAGGTGTCCAGGCCACCCAGGGGGATATCTAACATCGTTGTCCAGAGTTTGAAACAAGTGTTTTTACGTGTCCAGGCCACCCAGAGGGGGTATCTAACGTGGTTGCCCCGAGCCAGGACCACGTGCTTTAACGTGTCCAGGCCGCTCAGGGGTGTATCTAACATGGTTGTTCATAGCTGGATCCCAGTGTTTTAACATCTCCAGGCCACCCAGTGGGGCGTCTAACATGAATGTCCCGAATTGGAACCACGTGTGTTTACGTGTCCTGGCCGCCCAGAGTGATATCTAACATGATTGTCAAGGGCTG